GTTTATGGGACTCGGTGGAAAGTTCCTCGAGGCAATTCTTGACTTCCGAAACGTCTTTGAATCGCATACCGTAATTTATTTCCACCGAAATGTTCTTCCGTTGCACGTCGACGCTATCCTTGATCTTGCGGGTGCAGATGCCTCTCGAGAGTTCCACGATTTTTACAGCTTGGTTCGCACCGAAGAGCTCTTTGAGTTCCGACATGTTGACTTGCTGCAACTCGACGCATTTGGTTACTCCGAGTTCTCGGAGCTTCTCCTCGGTGGAGCCCCCGACCCCGGGTATTTCAGAGACTTTTTTGTCCGCCATGAAGTCGGGCACTTCGTCTTGTCTGATGTAGCAGAGTCCGTTCGGTTTGGCTTTTTTCGTGGCGAGTCTCGCGATCAAAAGGTTCGGACCCATACCCACGGTACAAGTGCAGCCGCTAGCTTCGAGGATCGTCTCTCTGAGATATCGGCCGATCGCCTCGGGAGTGCATTGAATTTCTTGAATTACATCGGTTACGTCCGCGTACAATTCGTCTACGCTTTGTGCTTCGATATTAAGCGTCAACGAAGCAACCGTATCGTATAAACATTTGGACACCTCTTCGAAACCCTCAAAATCGTAAGGCAGGACAATCAGGTCCGGACACAAAGCCTGCGCCATTCCGAGGAACATGCTCGCGTGGATGCCGAACTGACGAGCAGCGTAATTTACACAAGAGATTTCCGCCGTGGAAGCATCCTGCCAGTTCCAGTTTCGGTAATCGGTCAGATCGAGGTTGGGATCTTGATTCTTGCGCTTCGCTTTCTGATTACTGCAGATCGCAACGGGTTTGTCTCGAAGCTCTGGCCGACCGCGTACCGCTACCGACGCGAAAAAACAATCCATATCGATGTGCAGATAGACAGAAGAGTCCATGACTTCTTCGCTTTGACTGTCCCTGCTCAGAAGAGCTTTCCCCGTGAATTGATGGTCTGGATTCTCTTTCAGTGTTTTGAGGTACTCTTGCATTTTGACTTTCATTGTTGCTATGAAAGATAAACGGCTATGCCTGAAGAACTTTTCGACGAAGCCGGCGTCGGACGCCGTTCGGGGCTCTTCGTTTTTCGTCGGCATCTTGTATTCAGCCGGTGGTCCATCGGCGTCTTTGCCGATGACGAGATCGGATATCGTCGGGCACTTGACCGCTCCCGACGACGTCGAAGGAACTTCTGTTTGCACATCGAAGACGGTTCGCTTCTTCTCTAGATAGTAATCCGCGACCGGCAAGCGATGTCCCGCACTAATGGAGTCCACTATCCAGTCGGGCCTGACCGCGAACCTCAACCAGTCCGCTTTCTTTGCCTTGGATAAATTGCAGCAGATTACGTAGTGATTCGTACCTCTCTGGAAGTAATTCAGGAAATGTCCGCCGTGGATTCCTATGAGACGTCGCAGCTCGTCCGAAGAGGGCTGCGTGTAACCGTTGACGTGGATTGCTACACCTGCGACGAAAATTTCTTTAGGACCAACATGCCGAGATTGAGAACGGGGGAAGGGGGCCTGATTGTTGGCGATGAATGGAATTCTTCCAGATCGTGCGAGCTCCGCGCCAGCGAGCGCATCCGCACTAACCTTTGAATATTTCACTTTTCTGCTCGAATTGCCGCGAATCTGCTTGGAATTGTAGTTCCAGCTTCTGAATTTTCGCTGCCATGTAACCTTCGGGCCAAGCCTCATCGGCCGATCTCCGAGTGCCCCTCCCACGCGACATGACTGTGGCAGCTTCGACGCTTCAAGTTTCCGGGGTTACAGTCTCTCGAAAGGGAAGGAATGACAGAACGAATGATTGGCGATGACGCATTGAGAAGGATTCTCCTCTCAGTCCGAATTCCGTCGGACGCTCGACCCTGTTGGCGCGCTCAACAAACAGCTGATCCCAGACCGGAGCGTCGCTCGTATTTGACACTGTCGTAAATTCTCGTGCCTTGGTCGAGTTCACCTCGAGCCGCCAAATTTTGCATCACTCTGGGTCGGGATCCGCGAGTTATCACAATGGATCACTTCCAAGTTCCAAGACATCACATTGCGACTATGATATCAACATTTCGTGTCGACGAGCCCGAGAATATCGCAGGTCTCGCGCGCACTCCCCGCACCCACAGAAGGAAGCGGCTACTTGTTGATATTTTTTTCTTCTGCTACGAGCCGCTAGTGGACAATCCCGAAAGGAGAGAGGAGAGGACAACAACGAGGAGTTGTCGTCTGCTCTGGTGTCAACACTCCCTGAGCACTGCTTCACTTCTATTTCGATCTATCAAGTTCTTTCTATCGGAATCGACGATTTGAATTATATCGAAGATCTTCCGAGGTGAGTTCATTTGCGAGCAACGGCCTCGCGGGTTTGTGATGTGCCCTGTCAAGACTCGGAGCTAAAGAGATCGATGTCTGTCGATTTTCTCCCTGTGACAGCAGCGATGGCAATTGGAAATATTTCAACCGCTCGGTCTTTCGCATCTTGATGGTGATCGCGTAGCTCAATCTCCCCTTTGGCTCTCTGAGGAGAGTCTCCTCCCGATTCTTGGACTATTCCTCGAAGGATTATCCAGACAGTCTCCGAAATCTTTCCAGGAGATCCGGACACCTGGGGGACCAGCTGGGAGATGGAGAAGAACGAAGAGACCGAAACACTCGATGATCTCTTCAAGTTCGGCTTCGAAGCCATAAAAGACCTTGAGCAGATGGACGCGACGGATGCAAAATATGCACAAACAGTAGCTGAAGCGATCGAAAAGCTGGAGCAATGCACAACCTTCGTAAGTGGATGCTGAAGATACTGCGCATCGTGCGCGAATTCAATCGAGTGGGCATGAAAAATTCTGACTGTTCTGCTCGGTAAGGGGAAGCCTTGCTTAATTTGCCAGGTGAATCAATTGAACTTGTTTAGCATAAATGAAAAAGTTGAAGAGATTGCCACACCGGTCCTCAAGTTCCTTTTGCTGCCGGCGTTCTTGTCGACACTAGCGACTCGAAAACGTGACGACCGACTGCTCATCCTCGAACAAAGCGAAATATACCTGGAAGATTTCCTCAAGTGAGTCATATTTCACTCTTCCTGTGTCTGATGAGACCCCCTCGATAGTGATAGAATCCTGTGAACGGAAACTTTCCGATCTTTCCCGCAGGAGATGCACAGAGTACGGATTGACTTCATGGACCGGGAGGAAGTCTGATGACGGCGAGGGAAACAGATCCCTCGAGCAGGCAGCGAGGGATAGAAACTCGAAAATCAACAGGTATATGATTGCTCTTCATGCTCTGCAAAGATCAAATCCTCTAGTTAGCATTCCATTGTGCCGTCTCATTACCCTCCTCATGTCTGGGCTCCAGGTACAAAGAGGGGCAGAGACTCGAGAGTTTGCTGCTTGAGGTCGAGAAGAAGATCGAAGTCGGTTCAGCGCAAGACGACGAAGTCCGCGACTATTACCTTAATCTCATCCAGTTTTGGTGTAACAAAGCTGTCGATGATCTGGATTTGGTGGAACACGAGAAGCAAATTCTCAAGTTTATGCGATCGAAGCCTCAGGAAACGGAGGAGAAGGAGCCGGTGAAACGGAAACCATTCAAACCGTTCATAATCACCAAGTCGGCGGAGCAAAAGAAGGTTAGCTGAGAGGGAACCATGGGACACTCGTCGTGCGTCGCCGACATATTGCGCTTGTATTCCTCGTCTTGGATCTATCAGTTCTGGGACTCAACAATTTCTCCCGACCAGGTATTCGGGGCTGGTTATCCGTCGCTACCTATACTCAGCGTCGACGAGTTCTACGAGCAGAAATACGGCAAGGATGGAAAGGGTGGAGCAGAGGGTAGCGGACATTGCCCGTGAGTAGATTGACTCGGCTCGATGCTCGACTCAATTCTTCGAGCAGCGAACCCGGACCCATGGCTTCCTCATCGAATTTCTCTGTTTAATCCTTTAATTTCTCCTCTGAACAGCGGTGGACATAGTCTGCAGAAATGGGCGGAGGATCCCGAGGCAAACGAGAGAGCGTTGGACGGAGAAGCTGCGGAAAAAGAAGACAAAGTTACGAATGACGACCCGGACGAGCTTGCCAGAATGAGATCGTGGGACGATTGGAAGGACGAACATCGGAGAGGGGAGGGGAACAGGAAGAATATGGGCTGACCCCCATCCTCGATTATTTATAGTTTCACGCTCCGAATCGTGCCCCTAATCATCATGTAAATTATATACGTATGCGAAGTTTATTTCATTAAAAAAGACCCGCAAAACGTTGTTCCCGATAGCAGTGATTCTTCATTTCGAAAGAGAATATTCGGCTTTTTGAACGATAGTTTTTCATCGGGGTTCCCCGTCATACCTCGGGTGGGTGTCCCGACCCCAGCGTTTCATCCTTGCCTCCCAACGACCCTTCCCGAAGAATCGGCCTGACGAAGGACCCGTTGGCTGAATATATTAACTAGTCCGACCTTCGGGAGTGGGTCTATGTTCTTCGTTCCGGATACCCGGGAACAATGATGCGAATCCACAAATATGTACGGACCACCTCCATCTCCCGGCTGTGTGCCGCTCTCGGATGATCGAAGCCGTTCATATTAACAAGACCGAGAGTCCCCGGTAGCGCCGGCTCAGACACGAAAGCCAGGACTCTCATGAGCCTGAATTCCCATGAGCCGGGATGGACCGTTGCGTCGCCCAGTCGGCGCCTCCCGATGCGCAACGAAGCTCTTGTATCTTCCATTGCAAGTGAGCCTGCAGTTTTGATTCTGGAACGGTAAACGCGCACGCGCGAGTTGTCGCTCTAGTGATGCGCTGAGTTTTCAGAGGAGACGGAACGTCGCACAGAGAGTGGCCGCTGCTGGTTTCAGCTGATAACAAAGGCTGTGTCGTTCCATGAGCCGTAGTGTTGTGTGAATATTATCTGAGTGATGAGTGTGAGCTCGGTGGAACGTTGAAGAATGAGCCACGAGCAGAATAGAAAGTAGTCAGTAGATCAGGGTTCGTCTATGACCGCGAATCTTCGTAGTCTTCCCGGACAGGTTGATCTCGAATCTCAGTCGCGATTGCGGTTCTCAGTCTCGACATCTCTCTCGACATCTCGACAAGGTCTCTTGGAGGAAAGTCGACAACTTTCGAGTCGAGCACGAGGAATGTTATTACTTAAATTGTTACTTTCGTCCTTGAGTAGCACAGGATAGCCCGCAATCATTAGAAGGTTCCGGGACAGTCTCCGAATATTTAGGATAAGTATTGCAATGCACACGTGACAAGTTTCTTCCTGAGTGATGTTGTGCTCTCCCGGGAAACCCCAATCCTTTGTGGGAAACTACCTTCACGAAGTCGAGAACACGGTGGGTGTCAGGACATCTTACTACAGATGCGTCGAGCAACGGAGGGACGGCTGTCCGGCAAGGATGACTATATTGAGATGGCCAGAGCCGGTTGTCCAGAAGCAGACAAGCGAGCATACTCATGCACCCGAGAACTGCGAGTACATCAAGAAGCAGGCATCCGCCCAAATAAAGGATACCGTTCTCGAAGAACAGGATAAAGGTGTCGAACGAGTTCATCTCGAGGCTCTTACCGGGGCAGTGCGACATTCGCGTAGTCTCTACGAAGATGAAGAGATAGGAGCAGCACTCGCTTAGGGCTCGCGAAAGCTCACACCGGCTTCACTTCAGAGTCGAACGGACATTGTCGTTCAAAGCTTGTACGGGAAAACCTTGAGCGACGAAGATTTCCCCTTGCTCGGAGACGATAAGTCTGTTGAACTTTCATGCCGATGCGAAGGGCATGGTCTTTGCTCCTCGCACATTCCAGCTAGACTACGAAGTCGCAACCCAGAGAGCCATACCACTCGAGTTCGCACTGTCGGCCATCAAGGGCTGTAACTTCCATTTTAGTCAAAGTCTCTGGAAAAAAGTTCAGCATTCGGGTCTCGTCACTTGCTATCCGTCGGTCAAGAAACTCATTCGTTACTGTTTTGCCCCCAGCTTGGTACCATTGGACAGAATTTACGACGCTTGGCTAGGAATCGACGCAGAGTCTCCGCCCGCGGATCATCTAGCGTACGAGCGAGTTGAAACTTTCAAGGAGTATCTGATCAATACTTGGTTGAAGAATGGGTCGGTGTTTCCATCTAGTTTGTGGAATCACTACCGCAACTTCGGTGCTCGGACAACGAATCACGTCGAAGCGTGGCATAGCGCGTTGAGTCGGACGATCACGAAAGAACATGTAAAGTTATTCCAACTGATCAACTCCCTGAAAAACAGGAAGATAAGGGGAGAGCGGACAGACTCTTGCTCCGGGCAGGACAAGCCCCACCGAGACTCTCCTCGAAGTATAAGAGTCTCAAGGAGCGCCTAATCCGCCTGACGGACGAATTCGAATCCGGCGCAAAGAGTTCGATGGAATATGTGCACTGCGTCGGATTCAACTTGAAGACTTGAGAGTTCTGATCGTTGGGTTTAATTTAAGATCCCTGTCGTATCATTTTCAGAGGATGAAACGCCATAATGCAGATTTGGAAAAATTATTTGTTTGACAACTGAAGTCATATTCAGTCCCGTATCTTAAACTCGGAGTCTTCGTATTCCTTCCTTCGAATCCGGGGTAGAACTGGCTCGTGAGAATTCTGGCTCTTGCGATTCTGGCTTCTGAGATAGTACCGTAGCGACAGCAGCCGTACGTGAACCGGCTCACGAGTTCGAGTTTTATGAGTGAGACACTTCGGAGGCGGTATACGGGAGCAGCCTAATTCACGACACTATTCGTTTAGAATACATCAATGACAACTTAATTGGTTTTATTCATTTGTTGATTCAGTTTTGTTGTTTTCGATTGGTTTTTGGGTATAGTTCAGTTTGTTGGTAGGTTCTGTTGGTTTTGTTGAGACAAGAGAAGATTATGTTGAATAGGTGTCCGCTACGGAAACTATACGACCTCACTCAGCCGCGAGGCGGGGTGCTCTCTTTGTACAGATGGAGATCTCCAGCTGCAAATGACCACTTCCGCTCATGGTGCATTCACATCCGTGCAGCTAGAGACGAGGCAACATCGAAGAACAGATAGATCTGACGTCTGTCCGGACTGGCGTGAGAGTGAAGAGAGTTTATGAAGGGAACGGATCAGTCCCCGAGCATCTCAGGTTTCCCGCGCGTCGCTTATACCCGGAAATCGTTTCTTCCGCTCCGTTCGGGGACGAGCCAACTCTCACACAGTATCGATCAGAATCCCGTCACGATCGATGTTAACGTCATAAATGTGCCTTGGTCAGAGTGACGCGCACATTCAGAAAACAAAATAAATACACTTTTATATTCTCTCATCGACGTCTTGAACGTCTGTACCATCGTGATGTTGTCTCCTTATTTTTCTCGTTCCTCACGTCCCCCTCGGATACAGGCAGTTCTGACTTCCTTCATTATTTAATGTCCTGTTCATCGATTTCAGAAAAGCGACAATGTTTCCACCCCATCGCTTGGTGCCGAGACACACTCGGCTCCGCTCTACTGAGAAAAAATTGGGGAGATCAGTCCGCGACGTGACGCTCGCCTCGCTCTATCTTGGTGCCGGCGTGCTATTTGTTTATTCGTTTCTTATTCTCGCTGTAGGAAGGAGTCTCCGCGCATCGCTGATTCTCGAGAAATTTTCAGTCCCGCATCATTTGAGCAGCGTCCCATCCGGAACTCCTGACGTAGACTAAGCGTGGGATGCAAACTCCAGCGAATAAGAATAGCTTCTCAGGGGGAGTGAGACTTGAATTGAGATTTGGACGCCTTCCTCTGAGCGGATTCGCATCTGGCAACGATCTTTGTTCAGACTTCGGACCCTCTATTCAGAATAATCATCAGCTTTTGTTGTCAGTGTTCATGCATCGAAATCTATTCCTTATTCGATTACAATTTGCGATCTATGAATATAATCAGAGTCCTTATTTCAATCAAGTCTGCCCGCTCGATCATCTGCCTAGAAGTTTGTTGTTTCATTTGACAGTCTGAAAGGTTGTATCAGGCACTGTGAGTGAAACGAAAGATGAAACTCACGCGCGCCGGCAACATTATCCTCGTTGACCGTTGCCGATAACGGACAAAAGCGGCTTACGCGAGTCACTCATACAAAACACTTGAACATAAGTCAGCCAATCTCTCTCATATGTATGTATACCATAAAGTATGTATATCGATGTGGTCTCCCCCCGCGACAAAGACGACCATTCTGGATAAGCCAATATCTTCGCTTCCATCTTAATCATCGATATTCGCGATAAGCTTCGGTATCTTTCTTGTGATCATTATGGTACTCGTATCGAAACCAATATGATTATTGTTGACATTCATGATAAACATAATCATCATCATCATATCTGCTTCATCGGTCCTGTATTTATCATCGCTACAATAATAATCAGTATCATCGTCATCGTCCATCCATCATCTGTCCATATCTATTTTTACTATAATTGTCAGTTATCATCATCAGCATGACCATAGGTGTTATTACAATCAACTATCGGTAGAGTCGTTGACTCATTGCAAAATATATTAACTATGTATATGTATACTAGTAATAATCGTGTAATCTGTAATCATCATCATCTCCTCCGAGTACGTTCATTGATTTTTCACTTATCGATGGTGACGTCACCGTTTCTTCCCTTTAAGTGATAAGTGATAATAATATTGATAACTATTATTATCTTACTTAATGGTGAACCTGATTACATTGAGTGACAGACGAATTGTTATCATATATTTATCAGCAGAACCGAGATAATTTTCGCGACCTCCAAGGACTGGACACATTTGTCAAGGAGTCCATCCCTCGTTCGCCTTCCCATCGGTAAGACGGCGTTCTGATGATAATTATGATAACGATCGCAGGTTATAAACGGCTGATGATACACAAATTGCGCACACTGCGCTTTGGAAAGAGCCATTGGTGACTTGTGATTCCTCATTCAATTCTAGTTTGTCGACTGCGAATAGTTTGCTGATGTTTCGGGCGAGTCACTGATGCCTGAGAGCGAGATAGCGGAGAGATATGCAGCCTTGAACGCGCTAAGGACTTGGATGATATGTACGGATGTCTGTCTGTCTGGCAGGGAATAATCAGTTTTCATGGCTGATCTCAGTCGTCGTCGGAGTAGAACTCGGAGACAACGTCCAGATGGTAAGAGGTTCCCTGCTGCGTCAATCGCTGTCATGGTTCCCAGTTGAGCGAGGGAGCCCTAGGATGAGTAGACTCGGCAATTAAAGAGATAGTGTGGAAGTTGTTATGGTGTCTGTTTTGTACTGGTGAGAGTGGCGTAAATCGTATCCGGCAAAAACTTTCCCTCTAATGTTACAAATATCATCTGGATCGTGATCGACAGCGATCGTAATCCTCATCATTCACATCATATCATTTACGTTACGTCCGTAAAGTGTAAAGCTATCGACCGAGTCCTGCCTGCAGAAGAACAAGAAGAAGAAGTGACTTTGATCTCGGAGACCGTGTCGTCGTCCGTATGGTCGGTTCAGATGTGTGCAACAGTGTAAAAAGACTTGCGGTTCTTTCCCTCGTTCCGAAAGGGAAATTCTCCCGTTCATTTCTTAACAGTGAATGCTGAGAGTGATTTACACTAATCTCCGAACACGCAAGGGAGAAATTACAGCCTTCCGAGGACACGTTGAAGGGTTCTGTTGAAAAAAACCCTCAGTAGATGCATGTCTCTCTTCAAGAACTGTTCTCCTTGAGTCTTTCTAGTGTTCTACTTAAATTGTCAGCTTGAAAGTCGGTGTTTGTGAGGTGTTCGCTTAAAAAATAGATCTGATCTAATCTTATGTGGTCATATGTTCGCGCTAGAGTACACCGTTGACTCTCACACCATTCCCTTCTGTCTGCTCCATCTCTCCGCTATCGCTCCGGCCTCTTAACTATCGGCCTCTTGGTGACTGTGTTTTCCAAAGTCTCGTTCTTTTCCTACTCCGCATGAAGATCTGCCGATCGCAAGTCGCCCTCACTCCACGGCTCGGGCTGATTGTGTGCTGGGGCCGAAACCTCGAGCTATCTCTCTCAAGGTCTGATGATTGCCCAGCGATGATTTGGTTCAAGAAATTTGACCGGGGTGTATCAATCTTCCGATTCGCAATCGATCCGACGCCTTGTCGAGATTTTGAAATGCGGCCGAACAGGGGAGTTTGGGACTCGTCGTATGAGAGAAATCAGCTGCAGTTTCCGGTGGATGAGACCGATGTGCTGCGGGAGTAGAGGGATCCTGAACGGTTTAGTGGGACTTGAATCAGCCTTGTAGCCTTCGAGCTCGTTGATGTTCTCTTCCAAGACAAATCAAGCATCAGACCGCCATCGCTTCACTATTCATCTGACTAAATGAACGGTCACAGGGAAGGATATCGGTGGCAGGCATTGCACGAAAGGGATTTGCCCGTGGTGTCCGGGTAATCGTGAGTTCTGGTTCTTCGAAGGGCGTTTACTGCTACCGTGGCCGCGGCAAATGCCATGCGACTCCATCCAGAACTGTCCGAGGCTTGGTTCTCCTATTTGAAGCGTTCGTCCTGATGTTTACTCTCCGGGATGCGAATGTCCGTTTGACGAAATCCAGGGGCCTAAAAGTAGTTACCAGTCTGACGTCTCGCTTGCGGCCGACTGGTGTCCCCGTACGCCCTGTACGAATAAATCTCAGATTCCGCGGCTAGGCCGACGCCTTCGTGTTGATTCGATCCTTCAGAGAGGTCCAAGCTTTGGGACTTTATGTGGGAGAATCGAGGATGCGGACATCGTGAGGGCGGAGCCTCAGCGAAAGTCCAGGCATTCTTCGACCGGAGCTGTCTCTCCTGAGCTCTCCCGCTGGCGAGCGGCTTCAAGCACGTCAAGGGATGTTGAGAGCTCTCAGGCGGCATTATTACGACTAAGTCATCAACAATACATATATATTAAAGTACAGGTACACACGTGTATGAAACACTCATGAAAATATATTCTGTGTTTTTGTTTCTCGCTTCCGCTAGAATATAGACCTCATTATCATCATCCCAACGATAATCACCGTCGTCGTTATACTGTCTCATAATATGATGTTTGGTTTCAACGACGGGCGTATCTCTCGGGCAGAAGACCCAATTCCCACAAACTGTATCAATCAAGGGGGCCAGGGACGACTTCACGGAGAGATTCCCCAATGCTCTCCGAATTTTGTCTCGATAGTACAAATGAGGTTTTGAACCTTTGGTATACTCATGAAATCCCATGATGTCAGTATAGGCGATCGGTATCATGATTTGGAGATCTGATCTACGTCACGACCTCCGGCTGCCATGGGTAGCAGAACAAGGAGAAGGAGTCAAGGAGTCGAAAAGAGACATGGGTATTTCCAACAAACTCGGTACAGCCTAGCACAGCTCATGATCTCCGAGTCAGGTGGACATGAATATCTCGGCATGGAGCTGAATTTCATGTCGGTTGGTCAGTTCTATTCAATTGTATACCGCGACGTATCGTATATCGCGCGTATATCATAGGTATTCATAGTGATTCAGTGTTGTTCGTCTCCAGTCGTTCTGTCAAGCTCTTGGCTAAACTGGCACTTGAAATGCCACCGCAAAATATGTATTCTATACAGGGTGTGTCGGCACGGTGCGCTATACAGGCTGTCCAAAACGTCAGCGTCAGTGCGCTAGATCGAGATCAGACCAGAAACGAGACCGACGTCAGACCGAGCGGCTCCCGAAAATGATTCCAACCGAATCACGTGAACAAACGTGCATTCTTTGTTCATTCTGTCTTCTGTGGGTTGACGATTCCCCCGCAGTCCGTCAGGAGGAAGCTGTTCCATCGGCGCTCCTTGCTTGTGTGTCTCAGAACGTCTAGGAGTGATTGATGTGTTGTCGGTACATAGAAAGATCCTTTGGCTTTTCCGTCGGGGCGCTGTGGTCTGCGTGGACGCAGCTTCGGATGGCGTGCATCTAGCGGACACCGATTGAGCTATTTAAGTGGAAGTTCGAAATTCTCTCCCGTTCACCTTTCTTATACTATTGTTTCTGTACAGAGAATATTGGTCCTCATTAAGTCGCTGCTGTAGGCCAAGACTCGGCTGTGAGACGCGTTCTTTTCAAAGGTGGCACAGTTGTCGAATCGACTGAACCTCCAGAATAATCTGTAGGTCCTTGGTGAACCGATCTGCAAAGAAAATAAAGAGTTCGAAGCGTGACCTCGAGAATTCCAGAGATTGCGAGGGCATGGGGGTCTGAATGATGCGTAGAGGGCCTCAGAGTCCGTGCTATGGGACAAACCTAGGCGGGGATATGGGTTCCGACTTGATTCGCATGTTCGGAGATAAAGGGGGTTCTGGAGATCCTGACGCGCTGTTGAGATGGTGACTTTGGAGTGGACTCGTATCTAAATGCCCTCCTTGGGCAGACCAGCCGTGCAAAAGACTGCCGTTGAAGCCCGTCGCAGATAGTGCTGATATGTCTGAACTAATCGGGAAATCACCTGTAAGAAGCGCGATAGCGAATTAGCTCGTGGACTCGAGTGATTCAGCTCAGCAATGCAATCGATTCGAGATTTCTCTCCGAAAATCTTTTTCATTTCGAACGCTGTAAGCTGCGAGCGTAGGGTGCGATGGAAAGTAGGAGAGGAGGGAGAGTAGGAATCGAGGAATGGGAGGAAGGGGAGCACTATCAGAGATAGCGGGACACAATTTTCGATTCATGAGATACGATTTAGGGATAAGAAAGTGATGAGATGGATGAAGAAGCAAGCAAAAGCCCGTACCAGAGAAATACGTACTAGATGATAGGCCCGAAAACGCACCGGAATAACTCGACAATGCCGAGAGACCGTTTGGTGCTGTTACCGAAAGGACGGGGGTGGCGATTGCGTTACTGCGAACCATATTGGCACTCTGTGAAAGATAAATCTGGCCACCCGCCGACTCCATCGTCGATTGCGGATTAGGTGACGGTGAATTCTGCGGAGGGACCATGACGCGCAGGTTCTTGCACTGCGGGGATCTCGGCTTGGGAGACACCGCCTGGGGAACGGATCCCGGCTGGCCAGCCAGACTGCTGCCCCCGCTGCTGCCTGGAGACGTTGCGCGTTGATACGCACTCAGACCGTTCTCACCACCGGCTGCAATGAATTACACAGATATTTATCACTTTCCTTCATTTATGATTCCATTCATCAATTGGCAGGGGGGGGGGAGGGGGTCCCATGCTCGGACAGGAATTTCTCGGAGGTCTCCCGCATGCACGGATGGACTCTAAACCTGATTTGAGCGACTTGGGACCGACGGGAACCGTGGGGACATTCAGCACACACAACGGAATGAGCGAAACAAATGGAAAAATTGGATCTTCGGATTCCAGGCTGCATGCTGGTGGTTCTCACATTGCGTTGTGGAAGTGGGCGTGCGGGGAGTGGTCGCGGGACGCTGGCGATTAACGTTGATGGGATTCGTGCCGCCTAACCTACCTCCGGTGGAGCTGGGTCTCGGACTGATGCTGCTTTGAGACATTTGAGTCGGAGACGGCTGCATCAACGAGTCTTGCGAATACATATTCAGTGGGCCGTTGCTCACTGCCAACGATTGTCCGTGGAACGGAGAAGTGGAATCCTGGAGAGACCGAAAGGACAACGCCGCTTAGTATCGCCAAGGCCCGTCGGAGGTTCCGGAAAAGAGTACCGAGCCTTGAAATCGCAAACTTTTCTGCTTATTGAAGAGGGTTCGCCCTGGCTAAAAATATCAGACTCGAGAATACTAGCTCCGTCTAAGTACCCGAACTCCGTTATGCTGCTGTGCCGTCGCTGTCGCGTTGCGTTGCATCATGATCTCGAAATCTTCACTGAGCTTAGGATAGGCTGGGCCGAGCTTGTTGGCATTGTTGGTCTCTAAGGGACGCGACGGCATTGTGTAACCTACGTCATCGTCTGGTTCGGGGCTCTCACAGCACGTGGAGTTTCCCTTGTGGTCCTTCTTATTCAGAGCCTGGAAAGAATCAACAGCTTAGCATCGGATGAATCACTCTGGCGGAGAATTCATCCGACCTATCGCTTACTGCCGCGGCGAAGATCAGCTCAAGCGAGTTACCGAATCTTCCCACGAATCGGATTGTGCCTCATTCGCTCGTGGAATATTTTCGGAAAAACAAGTCCTCCCGAAGGGCAAAATTCCTCACGCCACACAAACGCTCGCAGCGCGACCTCATTCCGGAGTTCCCAAACTAAGTCGAAGTAGCGAAGCTCATTGCTCCGAATGATCCATCCGGCGGTCTGACGCGAGCTCCGGTCTCCGTGAACTCTCCAATTTTGAAAACAGAGACTCCTACTCGACGCCGAATGAAGCGCTCAATTAATGAGCGGGGAACGGATCGCTATTAGCAGCCGATCAGCAACACTTCTCTCTCCATAACGCTAGCCCGATGCGGAGCCCCCGCTTCTCGTTCCGCCTCCCTCGCAAAGACTAAGCTCCTTCGGATTGATGCGCGGGTCGCGTCTCTTCCATAGGACAAGGGTCGCAGTGTACATATTTCTGAATTTCGTACGGCCCATCGTATCTTCGCGTGCGTATGGAAATCTCTCATTCTCCACGATCGGGACAACCTTGAACATTACCTCGACGATGTCATTGTTGGTTCTGCTCTCGTGCGGCTCGTTATACTCCGTATACTTGAGGAGAACTTTGTCCATGTCCGTGGAAGCATATTGGAATAACCTGTTCGTCGAGTTGAAAATAATGAGCGCGATCTCGCAATCGCATAAAACGCTGAGTTCGTAGGCTTTCTTCATGAGGCCGAACTTGCGTTTCGTGAATGTGACCTGCAGAAGGAAGAAGAATGTCACTCGGAACTCGCTGGCCCCTACCAATGAGACTGGTCCGAAATTCAATCTAATTCACAATTTCGAGATAGTGGGAAAAGATTCGTCAAAGAGGCTAAGGCTCCCGAAACGATGAGGCTTCTCGCAATCATCTGGCGCGCCGAATCAACAACTCTTCCTCACCTGACGATTTCGCTCGTCGGAAATTCGCGAAATCTGGATTTTCTTGCGTCCCATTTTTCTGGCAAGATTGGTAGACACTGGAGGTCGAGAGTTTCCTTGATTTCTTCCCTGGGTCGGGGCTCCTAAATAAGCCGCTGCCCCGTTCGAGGGGTTGTTTGCCTGGTTGAGGCTACTGCTTCCGGCACCGCATTCTGAAAAATCGGGAAAGAATAAGATTAGTGGAGATCTCAAACGACACTCCGGGCTCTTCCCTGACCCCTAGTCGCATCTTTGTTACATTGACCGAATCCGACGATCGATTCTCGGATCAACGCGGACGCTATCGCCCGCCTGCCGCTGACACTGGAACCGCATGGGACACAAGGAGATCCGCGTCAAGCGACTTTCGGTATTGTATACGGATTTCCAGACATAAACAAAAGAGGAGTTACATAGTTCCGACGCTTCTCACACGGTCGGTGGGTTCGTCGCTTGCCGCTTCATGAACAATTTCAACAAGCTCCCAACAATGAAGCTCGTTTAGTCTAATTATCTTTTTCCTCCTCCCCCTCCTCCATCAGCATCATGATTGCAGTCGTAATGTGTTTGTCTCGCTGAAGTTTGTACAGATAGCGGGGTTACAGATATAACGAAGCGAGAAACAAGATGAAGGAAGCAGGAGGGAGGGTAGCAGCCGGATGGGAGACGAAATTGCGGAACTTCAGGTATCGTAATTGAGCGGTTTTCCATGTCCAAAGCGTAGACGGACAAATTGTCTCTGTGTCGTCCATGGGCTCAAAACGGAGATGGTCTACCTGCAGCCGCCGTCTCCTCTGCCGCTACGACTGAACAGCCCTCGACACGAACAACGGGAGAGCTTGTTGAGTTCCGCGTAAGAATTTCATTTCGAGAGTCTCATTAGATAGAAGGAACTGCGTTGGATTCCAACAATGCAGAGCTCAGCGCATGAGCGACAGTGTATGACCTTGCCGAGCAGTTCAACAAATTCCCCATCGAACATCCAAAGATCTGAGGAGCCGAGCGGTCTCCCCGACGTCACATTCGAGTTTTCGCGTCTAGTAAGCCGGTAGCGAAAACCTCAACTTGTTTTAATGATGTCCCCGCGACGATTATGGAGAGCGAATGAAGATGAGCCTGTCGATTAATTTCCACTTCGTCAACATCTCTGTCTGATGAGTGTTTTCGGGAGTTGTTCCAACAAGGAACATCCTCAAATAGATCGACAACTTCGCAGATATGGACATACGGTTACATTTTACGCTACACGAAGCCTCATAACATAGAGTAATGACGGATGTGCCCCGGCAACTCATTTGATTCTCGACTCATTAACTATTCACCCTAATTGAAGGAGCGAGACTTCAACGTACGAAGTTCCTCCCATACTCCTCAAAGAAGAGAAATCTGCCCACGCACTAGCTGACGTAGCTGCGGTTTCCCAGACGGAAAAACATTGCGGCGGATCTGGGTCGACCGACTCGGTAGGAAGCTCCAATTCGACAGAGTAAATTGTCCACAGAGATTAAATTTCCATCTCGGATTGGTCGACAACGTTTCATTAAGCATGATTGCGATGAAGAGCAGCAGCCGGGACGACAACCGTCGAGGACGTCGTTGTCGCGGGGCAGTGTCTCTCGATTGGTCGCGTGATAGACACGCTTAGCACGCTCGCTAACCCACTGGCTGGAAGCCGCGGGAAGCTTATTCCGAGTCTTAGTTCGGATATTCACGCCATTTGAACCCTCGGGAAGAGATGTTGATACGCGCGCCGAGCACGCGGCGTAGTCTCTTCGAGGGGAGACGCTGTCTGCCCCGGGGAGATCCTCGCTCAGCAGCTGCTCGATGACCGAGGGTCGTCCCGGCCCGTGGCTGAGCCCGCGCAGCACGAGCATGTCCCCGATTCTAACCGCTCCATACAGCTCAGCACATCGGAAGACGACCCGGGATGAGGGATACCAGCTCATCCAGTTCCCGCCCACACGTCGATTTCATTTCCTTCTCCAGCGTCTGTTTTGCGCCCAGGGAAGCGGCATTCTGTCGACTGGAACTCACAATAATTATCAGCCAAGTTCCAGTCACCCGCTAATCAGCCTGGGCTTCCGGTGCCGTGCTTTCAGTATCACACGGGTCTGGGCCGAGCTCGGTGGTCACGTCAGTAATCATCCAGCTACCGTTCCTCAGGCTCTCGAGGTTGATCGAGGAGCGCTCAACGTCATGAAAGTCTCCCCGAGTCGGGAGTTCCTTATTCTTCATCTACGAGGATGATTTCTTGTTCACGCTGGAACAAAGTCCTACGGGAAGCGGGAGATCAATCGCTCAGGACTTGTCGTGCACGACAGAGCAAACAACAGAAACCCCGACGACATCGAATTTCGAACTAGGGCCTCTCTGCTCCGGTGTTCGGACGCCTTTACTCAGTCAGTCAGTGCTCATGGGCGCCTCTCATCGGTTTCTCGAGAACTATTTTCACCCTCTCCCGCCGTCTCATACTCCATGGTGTATTCTTCTGCCGGATCTTGCGTGGACACAACCTCAATGGGAGTCGCGTGCCGTTTCCCTGGCCGTCGGGGAGTTTTCTTCTGCAGTGAGGTCCTACCGGTCCGTAAGCCACCAGCGACGACTGAATGGGATACAGGGGAGAGCGAGGAAAAGAAAACTCCATTCATGAGAAGATTACGGGCCGGTAATCAGACCGTGCCCCAGACCATAGCTTTCCTAATTATGGAACTGACTATCTGTTTACCTATTTCGTGTCCCCCGCGCATGATACCTCGCAACGGAGCTGTCGTGTCGCATAGAGTACAGAATCATGATCCTCTCTGAACAGGTATCGTCAGTTTTCCGCCGTCAGCGTGGAAGCTTCGATCAAAACCACTGCAGCGAACGCTGCAAACGTGTAGTCGATGTAACATATCAGGAAGGAGAAACGATAGGAGAGAAGTCGCGGAAAGAAAAAAAAGAGACAACGGTTGATGTCCCAATGCCGCGGAAAGCGATAATGTGCGTCGGCCAGCTGGCGACGGTCTATGCCCGCTTGGGGTCAATGGAATTTAGCGTGCAAGTCCGACTAGCGAGTCGGCCACGAAGAAAGTGTTCCCAGTTTCTTGCCAATGCTCTCGCCATAAGAACTTGTTCAGCTCAATGGCCACCGGCTATATTGCACAGGCCTGCTCGACAGGATCCAGCTGACAACTACTGTTGAGGGGAAAATAATTCAAGACATCCAGAGGGGGGAACGACACGAGCTCTACACGGAGCTACAAACGGTCGAACAGATACTCGCCAGCTCAAGACGAACCGACGGATAGTCTACGACGACGACGACGAAGAACGAATACACGCATAGATAGATAGATGGAAGTGACAGAACGAGATTCAGTAGCAACAGCTGCCACCGGTTCATCTGGATTTCGGAGCGCGCTGTCGGTTATCAATTTGTGCATCTTGGTCAAATCAGAGCGAGTCCGCCACCGCCGTCCTCGAGCTACCTACATGTACACAGTTGAGCCGCCCGTCGACGATACAGAGTGGAAAACAGATTCGACCGAGTTTCGGATCGAAATTCGAACAGGAGGAGACGAATGGGTGAGAACTGAGCTCACTCGCCGCGGTATGATCTCGTGAGGATTTTCATCAACACCACCACCGCCGCCGCCAAAAACCAACACGGGTACTCCGAACCGGGAGTCGTCTAATGGACGAACAGACACCCGATGTGTGCTGTTGACCGGCCCGTCGACCGTTCAACGTCCGCTCGGACGAAGAATACGATGAGCATTTAGCTGACTAGTCCCACCGTTGTTCGGCCTCTATCAGACTGCTCCTGATACCCCAAATGAACTCGGCGAAAAATCTCCCTCTGATCGCCTCGAATTAACATCAATCACTAATCTGTTGTGTCAGGCCAACTCCGTGCCCATCAACTGACCGATGACAAGCACAGCAATGATAACAATCTCACAGGGCTCGGTGTCCTCGAATCCGAGCTTGTTCGGAGGCCGATCCGTCTCCGCTCCAGCGAAGGTATCGACCGAGCACGTCTTGCCCTTCTGATCGGCAGGCATGGCCGTTTCAGAGACGAAAGTGATCCTCCGGAAAGATTCCCACCCTTGTCGAATTGTTGAAGGAGTTCCGCGCACGGTTCTTCTCGAGACGATGGTGAGGCGCCGTGTTTGTATCGCGCAAAAAGAAGTCATCTGAGCACCCATTGATGCGTTATCATCACCGACGTCGTGAAGACTTGAAAAGCTCCGTTGGCTCCCTGTTCAAGTGCCCCCGCCAGCGCTAGTGGCTTTCCAATGCTCTCACTTTGGCGGCTTCATTCAACGGCCGCTCATCATCACCATCGTCGCTATCATCGGCGACGTCACTATAGGGCGATGTGAGCGAGGAACTTTCCATTGTGGAAGTTGAAAGTTGAACTTCCATGCGTCGTCGTCGTCGACTTCTTCTTCTCAAGTGTAAGCAGGCTGAGTCCAAGACCAACAACTGACCGCGACCACCGACCGACCGACAGACCGTCAGCTAGCCGACCCTCCAGCCAGTAGTGGCAGCGAGGTAGACCGGAGACGGGCAGCCCGATGAAACCACCGAGTGACCGCAAACTTTATCGCTGACGGCTGACGCTCCCAAGTCGACCGCCTTGTCTGTATGCCCTAGCTTTTGTTTCTCGTGCGCAAGGCAAAGCAGCGGGCTATCGATGTATTCTGGGCAGGCTTCGAATAGACTTGCCTAATACCACCGGTCTAGCTTGCCCATCGTCAATGTTCAGATGGCTGATGGGAGTTCATTGCTCAAGGACCATGGGAACTTCGGCTCGCTTTATCACCGTCTTGCATACCTCGGCTCCGTTGGATCGCTCGACTTCTCGAAAGCTTTCGTCGGGCCATAGCCGAACGATGATCGAGTCCTCGAGTTCAAGTTCCTCGGAAGGATTGCTCAGTGCTCGTTCACTGATGTTCCGACAGGAAGTATCGTATGCAGAAGGAAAAATCAGCAACAGATCGAAAACGATGAGTTTCGCATACCATCGGCAACGGCAACCCGATTTCTTG